TGTGCCTTCAAGTCGTTGCCCATAGGAAGACGTAACTTGGATATAACCTAACGGAATATCTTTAGAACATGATGTAATAACGTAAAATCAAGGGCCCAATGTAAAAAAAAAAACTAAATTCCCATTTAAAATGCAGTCGTAATTGGTACATTAATTAAACAATCATTGTTTCAAATCCCTCTTTTTTATACTTGATCATCTTTATTTAGTGTCAAGCAGGTAGTTGGTTGTCTGTTTTTAGGGTACAGTTAATAGTCTATAACTCTCGTGACTATCTCTGTAGATCATGGAGATAGCAGCAATACAGAGTCCAGTTTAGACATTTAAATCTGCTAGACTTACCTCTTTGTAACATAGTCTGTCAGGGCAACAACTCCATTCTTGTCCAGAAGCGACGAGCCGCCTTTATCAGGTGAACGATGGCAGGCAACAGCTACGGCTCTCATGAATGCCACCAAATTATCCACTAAACTCATCTGTTTCTCTGGCAGAGGACCAAAAAATCACAATAACATTAAACGCTTTAGAGAAATTAACCAAACTCAAGGAAAGAAAGATATTTGAAATCCATAAACCTACGGAGGCATATTACATTCACCAGAGAAAAAGAAATCTGACAGATTATCTCATAATTACGAGATCTTATCTATATATTTAGTTATGATTACTTGAGCCAGTAATGAAGCATCTCTCAGAAAACTGGTCTTCATAATTACTTCTTAAGAATATCTGCATCTGTTCCACTGAACAGTTCTCTGAACTGAGGTCTGACCTGATGCGCCTTGGAGCTCCGCTCCTGTTTTCCACTTCATCATTATAGCACTGTGGAGTTAGATAGCTGAGATGGAGGCATTTCTTGCAAGAAATAAGGTTGAACTGTATTTAACGTCCTCAGAAGGAGAGATAGGGCTCTCTGACTCAGGCAAGGTTCAGTACATACTTTTATACTCTACAAAAATCCCAACACACACTCCCCCCAGGGGAACCAACCCACCACCTGCATAAAGAACTTTCTCACACTTTGGAGGAAAAACAACTTGAGTTCATCAGGGCCGTTCACTGTCAGGTTAACATATCTTTCACTGGTCAGATGGATCTCCTAACAAAAGCAGTCCTCCCCTTCATGCCATGAAGGAGGCTGTGGAACTCATTCTTATCTCTCAAGACCTTCGATTGAAGCCTGTGAGGCTAAGAACAGACATACCTC